TTCAATTAAAAAAATTAAATTACCTATTTACATATTTTGCAAAGGGTCCAATTTGGCAATTTAGCAATAATTATAAATACGGTAATTTGCATGAGAATTACACTAAAAACTAAAATCAATTTTTTCGAAAACCGATTTTACTAACGAATTCCAGTTTTTCCTTAATTTTGTTTTGTGTTTTTTTCCCGTGCTTTTGAAAACTACATCGAATTTTAAATGTTGACCTTCTGAATGCGCCAACTAGATTCATTTTCCCATCGAACCAGACATAATATTGAAGTTGAAAATCGAAGCAAGATTTCGACCATGTACTTATGGATTACACACACACAAAAACATACCACTGTAAAATCAATACATTCATCACTCCTCTCAGAATCTAAAAGAAAACCAAAAACTAGTTAGATAGGTACCTATTTAATATCAATGTTTTTCCAGTTTAATTGGTAATGTAACTGGAGAGTCGCTGTGCTGTATGCCTGTATACCTATTAGATGTTGTCAATGAGTATAAATCACTGTAATGGTTGTGTTATAAATTTTAATTTAATTATGATAAACCATTATATACGGAAAAAAATTGAGCTGTGGCGATGGGAGATCAGTGGAATAATTTACTTGAAGATAGCCGATAGGTACCTAGTCTAAATGTTTTGAACATTTCTCTAAGAATATAGATTATAGAATAATAGAATATATTCAGGCCCTGATTTAATAAAATTTGGGCCAAGTGCACAATTTTTTTGGGGGCCCCCTACCCCCACCGGCCACCACCACAAGTCAAAAAAATGTTCTAGAAAAAATCTATACAGAGAGTAGGAGGAAATATTGATAATAAAACAAAATATTTATATGTTAAGTATTACCTAAATAAATATCTCAAAATTCATAAAATATTTGTACATTATTTCATATACTATAAATACAATTTAGTTACTTGGTCTGGTAAATTAAGGACATTGAAAAGATAATACTAATTAAATAACATAATTAATTATCAATCTGCCATAAAATTATAAAAATGGTAAATAACTTGTTAATTTGACAATTTATTTTATACAATTAAAATGAAATAAAAAATAAATCATTTATCTATATTTTCTATATTTATATTTTTATTTAGCTATAACATTTTATCACAAAAAAAGTTTAAAAAGATTTCTTTCTTGCTTTTTTCTCTGCAAAAGTTTCGATAACTGATTCAAAATTTTTTTTTTATATATTATAGTTTATTTATAACATTTGTTTTGCGATATTCATTTCCGTGGATAACTGAATAACCTAAACCAATAGTTCAAAAATGGTAATTGTGGGAGCGAAATGCGTCACCAACGACCGGTTAATCAGTAAATACTGGGCTGGAAGAAATCTATAAATAGTTATTATTTTTTATTTTTTTATTTTATTTTTTTTTAAATTTAAATCTATGAGATTACTGGGCCTCACTGAGACATACTCGTGTGGAGGCCCAAAATTATGTATCAAATATTTCCGATGTTCGAACAATTTTCTATTATTATTATTTTAATATGACGTATTGAGGTGAAGAATAACTTATACTAGTATAAGGCGGTCTATGGGAATTATAATTTATTAAAAATAATTAATTTTAAAAAAAATTTTAATACAGAAAATTTTCTACAATTCACGGAGATCGGGGGCCCCCAAAAATTGGGGGCCAAGTGCAAGTGCTCCATCTACACTTGCGTAAATCAGGGCCTGAATATATTATGTTACATAATTTGATGGGTCATGGTCATAAATTATAATGTAGGTTTCGTCTTGGCCATCAGGAAACCCTGAGAGAAACTCGTAAGTAATGAGTGGTATGGGGTATGAATATGATCTGCAATATTCTTAGACTACCTATTCTATAGAATGTATACATTGTGGTTCGGCCAGAGATCAACTACGGAATGCATATTATTTGGCATATAATGTATCCTGTATCATTTGCGCTATTCTGTGTCCTGTGAACTGTAAATTAATATCATCATATATAGGTAATAGTTTGTACTTCTTAAACCCCTACACGCCTTAATAAAGGACACTTCTAACTTGTATGGGAGTATAAGTATAAAAACGCTTGTACATTCTGTTGTAGCCTGTAGGTGGGTATTTCAAAAAATAATAGTTGTAGACTTTTAGAGAAATTTTCAAAATATTTAGACTAGGTAATTTTAAGCTAATTATTATTAATAGGTAGCTAGGACGTATCAGTGGCGGATCCAGGGGGGCCAAAGGGCGCACCCCCCCCCCCAAATCGCTGTAGTTTGTCTTTGTTTTACCCTGTATTTAGCCAAATGTATAGCCAATTTTGGGTCTTTTTGTACTTTTGCCCAACATGCCCCCCCAAAAAAAATTAAGCCCTGGATCCGCATAAAACTAATTATTCACACTATTCTTCGGTAAGTACCTTAAGCGCAACTAGGGTTAAGATTCTAGGGAGCTATGGTCCAACTAACAAATAAGCTTTTAATTAAAAATAACCCATAGGGGGCTAATATCTAAATCAATAATAGATATTTTTGAGGGGCTAAATTGTAGTAAATGAGGACTAAGTTCCCCTCCCCACAGTTGTGCTCGTAGTAGATACCTACATAGATATTGATTTGTAATAAGTTAACAACAATAATATATTATTATAAAATGTTATTTTGGAAAAATTACTTCAACCTACCTACCTTATTACACCTAACTATAAAATAGTAAAATAAATAGGTACCTAAATAACTAATATACCTATAGTAATATAATAAAATATAAACATTTTCTCAGAAAAAGACCTGACCCACTGTCCGGTCAAACGTTTTTCGTAACTACACTGCAATGATTTATCATTAAATTCAAATTTAACACAACCAGTCCATAGGTGTACAGAAAACCAATTTCTGGGGTCCAAATTTTTTTTAATATAGACACTGGACAAATCATTTTTAAGTTTAAAAAAATGTTATCTTTATCACTAGATACTCCAAACAAAAATATAAAATTATTCTAAATAAAAATCAATACAACATAGACATCTAACATTTTTCTAAATTCTAGGTTGGTACTTATTTTTAAAAATGTTGTGGAGGGTTCGGACCACTATAGACAAATACAATACAGCACAACAATTTCTCCGTTTCTTTATATTGAAAGTTATAATCCAATAAACTTAAAAAAACATTGATTTCAAAAATCTACTTTCTTAATTTTTTTTTTAAAATTTTGATACCTATATAGGTACCTACTATATTCCTTAAAGTGGAGTTTTTAAGTTTCTAAGCTTGAAAAAGTAATAAAAAGTTCCTCATAAGTTGTTATTAGTTATTACAGCAATTTAAAAAATATTAAAGATGCTTAGGCACAATTTTTTTTTATAAAGTCGTCAAAATCATGAACATTTTCAAATCATTTTGTACTTTAAATGTATAGATATAATGTTCAATTTGTATAGAAAAGGATTGAAAATGTAAAACAAGATTTCTCATAATATTGGTTCATTCTGTGAGTGTAACCATAAGATCTAATAAATATATAAATGCCGTTTTAGATTCTAAGCGGAGCAATGAATTTATTGATTTTACGATGATTTGTGTTTTTTGAAGTAGGTAAAACTTCTTTCTTGAGGTGTGAGTGGAAAAAAAATTGTAATGAAAAATGAAACGACATCTTTGATGCTAATTTTCTTGGAAACTACTGGAGCTAACTAACTACTTAAAATTTTTTTTTTATTATTTTTACTTTTCAATTATTTACTTTATTTTTTTTACTTTTCAATTATTTACTTTATTTTTTTTAGTGTCCATCTACACGATAAGTAGTCGAAATAATTTGAACATCAGTATCTTGTTCGTTGGGAAAGTGAATATAGTTGGTGCATTGAGATGTCATATTTCCAGTAATTTTCAAAAGCACCGAGAAAAACAAAAACAAATTAAGGAAAACCGGGGATTCTTACGCAAAATCAGTTTTTGACAAAATCGATTTTGGTTTTTGGTGTAACTTAAAAATAATTGACAGTAGATACATGCAATTTTCACTGGTAGTTTGAATTAGCATTTTCTATACACGATAAAATCTTAAAAATATTTTGATTTGTTTTTAACTATTTACAGACATTTTAAGTTTCTAATTTTTTTAGTTTGTTTTTCTATGAATGTCAATAACATTGTATTTATTGATCAAACATTTTTTTAAATTTTATTGTGTGTAGAAAATGTTATTATAAGCAACCAGTAAAAATTGCATGTATCTACGGTAATTTATTTTAGTTACATATACTTACACATAGTTACACTAAAAACCAAAATCGATTTTGTTAAAAACTGATTTTGAGTAAAAATTAAAGGGATTTCTTTAATTTCTTGCCGCTTTTGATAATAACTGGAAATTTTAAATTTTGACCTCCCAATGCACCAACTATATTCACTTTCCCATCGAACAAGGTACTGATGTTGAAAATTGAAGCAGCTTTACAGCTCTAAATGGTGATGACAGACACATTATAAAATAATTAAAAGATAAAAGAAAAAAATTGTGGTAAAATCAATACATTCATAGCTCTGTTCAGAATCTGAAATCTGAGCTTAACTGTGGATTAAATCTAAAATATATTCTTATAACATTTTTTTTACAACTTTACAAGTGTGTAAAAAAATTTTTAATCTCAAAACGGTTTATATGAAAGGTGTTTGTTTATAATAATTACAAAGGTGATTGTATATAATAATAAAATAAATAATATTTTTAATAAATCACTTAGACTGAACAAACTCAACAATCAAATCAAGTGAATTATATAATTAATAGTTAAAATTAATATCCATATGAAATAAATATCACTTACAAATAGAGCATTATAATAAAATAAATATAATATGTTCTTATAATGTATAGACATTTTAATACGGGATAGCACATATTTTGATAAAATAGCTTTCATAAAAAAATTTATACACACGACTAATACCAAAACCTTTTTATTAGTAAAATAACTAAATTAGCTTGAAAATATTATTCTTGTTGTATTGAATGCATCCAATATAACGCATTTTTTATTTCATACAATTTTGCTCTATGTAAAAATGTAGTGATCAATTGATATTCTGTACAGGTACGTTGTTTAGTGCTTGAAGTTGACATCATTGTTCCTCCTTCACATAACACCTTGGTCGTTAAACACAACATCCATTGCAGCACCTAATATACAATTCAGATTTATTAAGGATATTATAGATAATAAAAACTAATTTCTTTTTACTAAATTCAACAATGTGTTTTAATTTGTACTTTTTACAGTATTATTATGATGGTTAGAAATCATAGAGATTAAAAATGACTAGTATAGTATATTGTTTAGTTTTAACGTATAAATACTAGTGATAAGGAAACTAATCTAGGCCTGACTGCAGCCGCTACAATAAAAAAAAACCGTAACTAAACTGTGTATAACAACATAGGATTTAAAATTTTTATTTCTTAAGTTGTAAAATCACGGATTTGTTTTTATGTGTATCATACAATATCCACATTGTATTATTTGAGATTTTGTATTTGTAAATATGTTATAGTTTGCTATGAATATCATTGAATAAAACTCAGATATTTCTATGCACATACATTTAATATATTATTTATATATTTAAATCATATTCATTTGATGTTTTATTTTTCAGTGTATAATAATTAATTAGTCCATTCTACAATAAAGTTTATACACATTGTTATAAAAAAATTACCTATTGTTGTTATCTATTAGTTAATATTTTTGTCGTATCAATCCATGTTGTGTTCATCACAACCAAAAAATGATAATGATTCTATACACCAATTTCAGTATATATAATTTAATTTTTCTTAGTCTCAAACAAAAATGTATATTCAAAAGAAATCTACAAACAAGACAAGTGTTATCTGCTTGATGCATCACAATGCAGTAAAACTTCAATTGATATTGAATTTCAGAGTGAATTTGATTTCAAAGCAATAATAAATTATTCAATTCATAATATTTGAATATCAATATATATGTTTTATAGGAAGGTATCCAAAGCAAAACCTGAATGGACTGTAGGTATATCACAATACAATGTGAAATCACAATTAATACAACCTAAATGTTATATTCTACACCACTCAAAAAATGTATAATAGGTGTAATATTGAATATTTATTTAAAAAATCTCAAACTATATAATAAATTCCTATATTATGCACAGTTTACTTTCTATGAAAACGATCGAGGCACAACCAGATAGTGACAGTTTAACCATGCGGTTTTTGTGCACAGAGTTTGGTCTCCATATTTCTTGCCTTCGTGGTTTAAACAAATTTAAGAAAAATACATTAATGGTAGGCAATAACACTTAATGAAAAATGTAAGTAATAGTATAAACCAAATGTCAAAATGGGATATGTTGGTGAAACAACAGTATATATTGTATAAATAGTATTTAATCAGGGAAGTTAATAACTATGCAGTATGCATAGAAATTCATTAATATTAAACGCAAAACATTTTCTAGCATAATGGTTAGAATATAAAATTTAAACAGAGTTAAATTGCTTCTTAAATGAACTAATTGGTAGAGAATTTTGAGAAACGCAAGTAACAACTATTATATTTTTTCTTTCTAACAGTTCAGCCATAAATAATAATATATTTTAATTTTATATACCTCGTTACTAGTTGGCATTACATATTTTGTAATCCATGACGATGGTGCCCATAGATATATCTGACAAACTGTAGCAGCAAATGATGCATCTAATCTCTAGAAAATATATTTTATATATTGGTTATAATAAAGTTATGACAATACTTGTATAAATCATAAAAATGCTAATTAGGAATTTGAAAGATTTCCTACCTTAGATGTTGATCTTTGCAATAGTGAGTGAATTAATGTTTGTATAATTAATGGTATGTCACTACTAAATGCAGGAAGATCTTCTTCCTTGTAAGTAGAATTGCGCAACAATGGAGGTTTACCTCTTTCATAACTATAAAATGGATTACTATCAGAAAATATTTCATATGCCATTGCACCAACAGCCCATACATCTGCTTTTGAATAATCTATATGTCCAAATGTTCCTGGTCGAGCAGTGACAACCTAATAATTAAATTTGTATAAATAATGTAATTTAATATTAGTACCAATTTTATACTTCTGGTGCCATCAACGCTATATTTCCTCCACGATCAGTGTCAGCAGTTTTATATGGAAGATTAAGTCCATTATCCTTGTCAGCAAGACAACACCCAAAATCTGTAATGGCTAATGCAGGACATACATCATTACCTTCAGATACATCTAATAAGATATTATCAGTCTTCATATCCCTAAAATTACATTTACAATACAAATAAATGTACTGTATTGAGAATATTTTGAATATATTTATACCTATGTGCCACGTTTTGATTAGACAAATGAGAAACACCTTCCAATAATTGAGCGAGCAGAAGAATTTTATCTCTAATTTTCAGTGATGGATTTTTAGATAAATATTGTTTCAAACTCATGTCATACCTAAATCACAATAAAAGGGTGTTTAAAACTTGATAAGTAATTCAATATAAATAAGTTACTTTTTCATCACCAGAAATAAACTCATGTTCCGACCATACCCTTCTGGATTTATTCTAGTTGGTAAAGCTTGAGGATATAATGTATGCGAATCAATCAACTCTGGCACATAATCCGCAAAGCACAAATGCATCATAACAATGTTTGGATGTGGTGATAATTTAATTAAATTTTGATCATAACTATAAAAGAAAAATCTAAAGTTTGTATTATGCACATAGAAAAAATATATATGCAATTTTCATGTCAACATTTGATAATTACTGACTATTTTCAAGCAATAAATAATAGCTAAAAATAGACTTACCCAATGAGCCATTGCTGATCTGATCTAGAAAAATTTTGTTGTACACTACGAGATGGAACCGTTTCTCTACTCATGGCACGTAATATTGACATAGCATTACTTTCAGCATCATAATTAAACATCATTTTGACAGCCAAAGGATACATTGTATTTGATGACCCTTGCTTTAAGATTTCGTCACTTGGGTCTGTAAAGTAAAAAATAACGTTTTAGAGAAATAATGTTTGTTAGTAAAGAGGAATTTATACATTTATTTATTAATTGAAAATTATTTTTATGTTTTACCATGTCTATTAAATCTAATATATTTTAAGTATTGATAATATCCATTATTATTGTTTAAATGTTTTTAGTAGAAAAATATAAAGTCGAAACCAAAACCTTTCAAATACAAAGAAATGTCAATAATATTTAAAATTATTTAGTTATAACTTATGTATAAGTTATAATATGTAATTAGACGAAAATAATTTCATTAATAATATCAGTTTCAATTTAAACCTATTATAAAATTTACAATAAATGTTAAAATTAAACCCTCATATTTACCTATTTTCTTAATTGTGAATTATTTGATTTGAGTTTTACGTATTTATTTATCACTAGAGCTATTGAGCTCACAATGATAAAATAAAATTACAATATGATAGATTTGACTTATTAATAGCAAGTATTAGTTATACATAACTGATTAATAAATGTTAGAACTAGATACCTCTGTCCTTTTCAATTTTTCTTGCTTCGTATACAACAGCATTATTTCCCTTAGCAATGACAGATCCTAATTCAAACTGCTTCAAACCCAAAGATGAATTTAATTTCAGGCGTTCAGCAACTGTAAGGTTCTTTTGCATACGGCCAACTGCTTCCTATTAAAAAGTTAAAAATTATAACGACTAGGTAAAGATTATACATTTTGAATAATTCACACACATTATTATAAATAAAGTACTTACTCGAATTTCCCAACAAACGCCTTCCAACTGATTTTCATTGGTTAACATACCATTACCAGAAGCTAGACTTACTCCAACTAGTGCGAAAAACGGTCTTGAGTTACCATACATGAGATGCCTGGCCGTACGCCTTCGCAAATCTGCTGACAGCGAGTTGGTTACCCGGCTCAGCAGGTTGTCGACGAACGCTCTCCTGGCGAGGTTCCATCGGTTCTGCCAGCCGGAACTCGGTGAACTATTGTGGCTGACAATGGGATTCAGCGCTTGGGTGTGAACGCTTCGCGGTGCCACCTTGGTGCGCACCAGCAATCTGATGTCATTGGTACGGTTGAAGCGCAACAACGCCGTACCATTTCTGTAAAATACGCTGACCGTTAGCCGTACAGACATTCAAAACACCGATGAGCTACACAGACGGAACTGCCGTTACGGATTGTGTGACTATCGAAACGCATCTGACGTAGCGATGTACAGTCGTACAAATACTGAACTACAGAAGTCACAGATGTAGTTATGTTATTAAAAATAGAATCGTTTTTGGTGACATTGATTCGCGACTCACTTAATCTGTTGTTGTTGCAGGTGGACGTGTATACTGTCGTTTGTCCTGTGTAGTAGTTGTATTTTCGTTTTCCGAACATAATAAACACAAATAAAATGCAAATATTACTCACCGCTGATTAGGACAAACATATGTTTAGATAAGGAAATCCTCGATCCGAAAGACAAAACGTAACAAACGCCGTGATTGGACGATACTTTTGAATACGCGCAGGTCGTGTTTTTTTCATCGACGTAAGTTTTTAATAGTGTAGCTTAGATGCAGATATTCTACTTAGTCTGTCACTTGGAAGCCCGGCGATAAAAAGTACGACGACAAAAAGTCCGGTAAAAATTTATATTTATATTACACATCAAATTGACATGTAAAAATATTTATTTTATATTATAGCTTAAAATATCACATAAATTGAGGACATAAAAATCCACGAATAAAATGTATAATATTTATATTATATAGGTGCCTACATACCAAATACACGGTAAAAATACAATACAAATTTAAAAAAATTATACATAAATTATGACATTACATACCAAATATTACTTTACTCTATTAAATAAAAATTATATCATTATCCGTGTCCGTAATATAACCTTGGTGTTAAATTACGAATTTTAATTTGTGGACTGTATGAGATTTGTTTTAGTATAAGAATATTATAATACAGTTGGTTTATTTGGTATTAATATATATTTATTTACGTGGCGATTGGCAGTCGAACGCATACTGACACTAGACTTCTTATGTTATTAGACATTACATAGTGCTCACTATCGCGAGCGATAATACGACAAAGTCCGGTTTACAATGGCAGATAAAATATACGCGTCAACATGCCGCCCGCCTTGAAACATTTAAATAATTTTCAACATAAACTTTAAACAAATATTAAATATTATAATACATCGAAAAATATTAATATTATAAATTACAAAATTTGGAATTACGATACAATAGAAAATTCATTTCAAATAAATTACATTAATAAATATTTAACAGATAAAAAAAAATTTTTTTACGATTATAATTACACAACAAAAAACATGTGTTTTATTTTATTGAATTCTAAACATTACCTTCGAACCGAAGAGGACATAATTTTTTGACAGACCTTTTTACCTCCTTCCCGCGGCTCAAAACAGTAGCCACTCGAACGACCCCGTCAGCTCCAGCCTGCACACGTACTACACGACCAAGAGACCATGACAAAGGAGTTATGTTGTCTTCCTTAATTAGTACCAAGGTACCAACGCTTAAATTTGGACCTTTATTTGACAACCATTTTTTTCGGGTCTGTAGTTGGGATAAGTATTCGTCATTCCAACGTTTCCAAAGACACTGCGTAAGTCGAGTCACGCGCTGCCATCGTTTCAAGCGGTTATCAGGTACAGACGACAAGTCAGGTTCAGGTACTGAACAGGTAGGTTCACCAATAAGGAAATGAGCTGGTGTTAATGGTGTCGCGTCCATAGGATCGGAGGAAAGAGGAGTGAGTGGGCGAGAATTTAAGACAGCTTCTATCTTTATTAAAATAGTATTTAATTCCTCATATGTCAAATGCGATTCGCCCAATACCCGGTACAGATGAGTTTTTATAGATTTTACAGAAGCCTCCCATAACCCACCAAAATGAGGAGATCGGGGGGGGATAAAATGCCAATTAATACCCTCTGTTGCTAACGCACTATACATTTTGTCCAAATGGGTCGCTGACTGGAACAAACATTTAAGCTCTGAAAGCTTTTTATTGGCGCCGACGAAATTAGTGGCGTTGTCACTATATATATCAGAGCATACACCACGACGACCAATAAATCTTTTTAACGCGTTCAAAAATGCATCGCTGGTCAGATCACTTACAAGTTCTATGTGGACAGCACGAGTACTAAAACAAACGAAGACGCAAATGTAGCCCTTAGTCACTGCTGCCTTTTTTCTCAAACTGGTTTTGATTGTGATTGGACCGGCGAAATCCACTCCGCATTTTTTAAAAGCTCGACATGGTTCTAGGCGTTCCGCTGGTAAATTTCCCATTATAGGTTCCACTATAATAGGTCGGAGTCTAAAACATTTAATACATTTATGAAAAATATGTCTTGCAGTATTTCGACCGCCTATTATCCAATACTTCAATCGTGTATTGGCCAACATAGCTTGAGGACCGGCGTGCATCAATTTTTCATGTTCATTTTGCAATATTAAATTTGCAATAGCGCTATTTTGAGGTATTAAAATAGGACTACGTTGAAATTGGTCTAAATATAGAGCATTTTTTAATCGACCACCGACTCTCATAATTCCATTTTCTAAAAAAGGTTGCAAATTTCTCAACTTACTGTTGTTCGGCAGAATAGAATTATTTATTAAACCATTTATTTCACTTGACCAGTAGTATGATTGTGTTATTTTGATAACGGCAATTTCAGCTGCTCGTAGTTCTTCGAGTTGAATAGGACCAATGACTTCAAGTTTTTTGACACGGATTTTAATAAAACGTAAACAATAAGCAAACACTCGTAATAATTTATTCCACGATGAATAATTTTTAATTAAGTTTTCATTTACGGGTTCTATCAATAAAGTGATTTTTTCTTTTGCTTCCGGTATTATACCGGCGTTAACGTTGATCTTTGATTTTGGCCAGTTTTCGGAATTATCGGCGAGCCAATGAGGGCCCTCCCACCATAAATCATTATTTATTATTTGATCGGCCCCGCAACCGCGCGATATTAAATCGGCTGGATTGTCTTGAGTGCTCACGTGATTCCATTCATTTAACCTGGTCATATCCTGTATTTCACTTACTCGGTGAGCCACGAAAGTTTTCCACTTTGACGACGGGGAAGTGATCCAAGCTAATGTTATAGAAGAGTCTGTCCAAAAATATTTATTTTTTATATTTAATTTTAATTTCGGTAAGACTTTATTTGCTAAGCGCGCGAGTATTACGGCAGCGCATAGCTCCAGGCGAGGTAGGGATATTATTTTTAACGGTGCTATTTTTGATTTTGCGCAAATAAGTTTGGTGACGTGTACATTTTTATTACTCGAACAACGAATGTATAAACATGCCCCATATGCTAATAAGCTAGCGTCGGCAAAGCCATGTATTTGTATTTCATAGTCAGTTTCGGTACCAAGATATCTAGGTATTTCTAATTCACGTAAATAATTTAAAGAACTTACATAACTTTTCCATTCTTTTTGAATTACAATCGGTACAGGCTTATCCCAATCGCATTGTAATTGCCATAATTTTTGCATTAATATTTTTGCGCGTATTACTATAGGACCAACGAGTCCTAGCGGATCGAATAATGAAGCGATTTGTGATAATATATCTCTTTTGGTAACTGGTAGATCGTTGAGCGTTGTTATTTCAATTTTATATTTAAAAACATCGCGTTCCGGACACCATAATAAGCCTAAAATTTTAGTCATTTTATTTTCAAGCTCCATTATGGTCATTGATTTATTTCCTATATTGGGCATATCGTCGAGTAGCTCGGAACTATTTGACATCCATTTTCTTAGTGGAAAACCACCCCGGAGCATAACTTCGATTAACGAATTACGTAACCTTAACGCGTTATCTTTGGTGTCCGCACCACCCAAATAGTCGTCCATGTAAAAATCGGATTTAATAACGTCGCAGGCGTCCGGAAACATGTGGTATTCTTTTTCGGCTAACTTAGCTAAACACCCGGTCGCCAAAAATGAAGCTGGAACCATCCCGTACGTTACCGTGTTCAATCTATAGGTACGCAGTGGCTCTTCGGGATTTGCGCGCCAAATAATTTTTTGATAGCTACGCTGCTGCGGGTCCACCCATATTTGGCGATACATTTTTGATACGTCTGCGGAGAACGCGAATTTATGTTTTCTAAAACGCGCCAAAATAGTAATCAATTCCTCCTGTATAGTAGGACCCTTCGACGCATCATTTAAACTAAGTCCTATGTCCGTTTTGCATGACGCATCAAATACCACGCGCAGTCTAGTAGTAGTACTATTTGTATTTATCACGGCATGATGCGGTAAAAAATAGTCATTTACACCGATTTTTTCTTCTTCGTTTTCCAAGACGACATCCATATGATTTAATTCAATATATTCTTTCATAAATTTACTATATTCTAATTTTAATACAGGGTTGAATTTAAATCGCTTTTCCAATGAAAAAAACCGTCGTAGCGCAGCCGGGTAAGAATTGCCTATTTCTTTTATTTCTGTTTTAAATGGTAATTTTACAATAAATTTACCGTCTACGCCTTGGCGAACGGTTTGATTAAAATACGCTTGACAAGCCTTCTCTTCCATTGTATAATTCGTTTTATCATTTAATACAGTTTCTAAGCGCCAAAATTTCGAAATTTGATCCTCCAAATTATTTACTACGATTTCGCTTAGTAACGTAATATTTCCCCGATCGATATTATTCTTGCATTTTGGTATAGGACCAGCAATTATCCATCCTAACCTCGTCTCTTGTATAATTGGCCCGGCACTGCTCGATTTAATTTGCCCTGGACGCATTAAGTCGAAAAACAATTCATTACCTAATAACATATCAATTTTTTGCGGCTTATTGTATGCGTTGTCAGCCAATACAATATTATCTGGTACATTTATACGTTTTGGGTCAATGACCTGTGCGGGTATGTCATTAGTTAATCTGGGTAATATTAAGCAAGATATGGTTTTTTCGTAATCGCTTGTGCGGGATCTTATCTTCACCGTCACCGCGGACGTTATAGTGTGCACTGATTGACCTATACCGGAGACATCGCTCTTTATTTTGTTTCGGCCTAATTGAAGGGTTTGT